AAAAAAAAAAAAAAAAAAGAAGCTGAATTTTGCCAGGAGGCTCAAAGACAGCCAGTAGGTTACAGAGTGAGGGCAGTGGAGAAGTAAAGGGGAAAAGAACTGCCATGGACTAGAGTCTAGACACAGAGGCTAGAACCCAGGCCCTCCATCTCCTCACCCTCACCCTAAATACCCACATCTGCCAGAGCCAACAGCAAAAAAAGCCTGAGATTTGCACTCAAAGATCTAGGTTCCAAACCTAACTCTCCCACTGACTAGCTGTGTGACCACAGGCAACTTACTTAACATCTCTGTGCTTATAATCTGGTAGGCTCATTGGTAAAATAGGGAAGACAATGATACCTACTTCATGGGGTTGCTGTGAGGATCACGGGGACAAAAGAAATGCTTTTATAAACTGCTCAGCTAGTAATTATAGTTAAGCAATTAATAAGCTCTAGCTCCAGGATCACTCATACTCCAATCCCCAGACACTTCCTCTGAGACTAAGGAAAGAGGTGGTATAAATAAATCCTGCCATGGCCGGCCGCAGTGGCTCACACCTATAATCCTAGCACTCTGCGAGGCCGAGGCAGGAGGATCACTTGAGGTCAGGAGTTCAGTATCAGCCTGAGGAAAAGCGAGACCCCGTCTCTACCAAAAATAGAAAACTTAGTCAGGTGCAGTGGTGTGCACCTGTAGGCCCAGCTACTTGGGAGGCTGAGGCAGGAGGATCGCTTGAGCGCAGGAGTTTGAGGTTGCAGTGAGCTACGGTGATGCTACTGCATTCCAACCTGGGGTGATGAAGTGAGACTCTGTCTCAAAAATAAAATAAAATAAATAAATCCTGCCATTTGTACAACTAAATAAAGAAGTCTTACACACACATACACACACACAGGCACACCGCCAAAATAGAACCACCACTTAAACACACCCAGGAAGTAAGCTGATGCCATTGTGCTTCCCCTACAGATAAATTTCAAGCCAGACAAGGATGCCAGTCCCCTCCCAACCCTTTGTTCTGAGCTGCTCAGCCTAGAGCCCCCTACCTTCTTCTTCAGATATTTATTAAAGACCCAACATAAACCCTGCTCCCCTGGCCTCCCAGCCCCAAGTCAGTGCCCAGAAAGCACCATGATGTGCTCCTCCTTCCGCTACCAAATGCAAGGGCCAAAAATGAAGCCCACTCCTGAGACCCTTGCCTGCCATCCCCTCAAGTACCCCAGGGAACTAATCCAAGCTCGGAGAGGCCGGGGGCAGGGGTGGGGGGGTGCGTGCAAGGGGTGAGCAAAGAGAAGGGCAGAAGTTCCTCTTATTTAATCAGTCTCAGGAGTCAGGGGTTTGGAGGGTCTCCCGGGTGGGCAGCGTTCCCACGGAAGAGAGCGGGGGGAGGGGATCACTGGATGAGATCAACAAGTGGAAACGTCAGAGGGACGAGCCCGGGAGGGAAGTCGGCACTTGGCGCAGGGCAGGGGGAGGCTGTAAAAAAGGAATGTGTCCCACTGCTTTTCACCTTGCCCCCCACGCCCCAAGACACAAACACATGCACTCAGTCCCCTGCTCAAACCAACCATGGATTATCTGGGGTTAAAAGGAGGCCAGAGCGGAGTGAGGGAGAGAGAGCCCGTCACAAAAAGGAGACCCTTCTCCCCTCCAAAGGCCTTTCAGAAATAAAATTAATGGAATGTGTCTCAGTATCATCCCAAGGGGCTTGGAGGAGGGGGCTGGGGGGGGAATGTGGGGGCTTTTGTCCCGGCTGCCCAGCTTCTCCCACATTGATCACCATGGCAACCAAAGCC